TTCTAGAATAAAAAGAGAGGATATGAAAATATTAGGATGTACAAGAATTACTTGTTCAATTTTCAATCGTCATCCGAAACGCTCAGGAAATTTCTCGAATTTCATTTCCACGCGTTTCGATGGCTTTAATGGGGACGTCTTTAATTCAACGTCTTGCTAAATTTTGTCACAAAGAAAGCAAACGTTCGAACAAAGCGTGACATGATCGTAACAAAAGGCTAACTTTTGAATCAAGAATTTAGTTTATTGTAGCACGTAGCGTACGTTCTCGCGAGCGAGATTCTAGTTTACTGTTTTAGAGTCGCTAAAACTTCATTTTGCCCGGCTCTTGATAGCTCAAGGTATGTCATAAAGCGGAAGTTCTGAAGGGAAACTCCTAACATGGGGCATAAAGGTACTAGAGAGTGGCCCAAACCAGGGACTAGCACTAACAGAAATCTTGCACCACGCCCAACTTTCACGTACCATTTACGCGAGCAGATTTCCACACGCTTTTCACGGATAAATCGTAAAAGTGTTGAAATTAGGTATTTGTAGGCTCGATTGACTATTAATCGCGACCCTGGTTGATTCTCGATTCTCAGGAAATTTAAATACAAATTTAATTTTTCGGTTGTTCAGTCTTCTAAAGAATAAGAATTCTTCTATCGCAGTAACGTTTTATTGTTACATTTTATTTCTGCGCAATAGAGAAGTTGCAAGTATAATTCCTCTGATCCCTCTTGAGAATTAAAGACCCTCCAACAGTTAGATTACGCGAAATGGCATAAATATTCAAACATTTTCCATTTCTTATCACGGCGGAGAAGGTATGAAAGTAGCATCTGTCAGCAAGAAATTAATCCCTTTCCCTTAATGTTATCGTTAGCAGGAAGAAAGCGTAGAAAGTAAAAAAAGCAAAGATATTAATGAAGGCGATTAAACAATGTCAGGGAGTGCCTAGCGGGAAAGAATATGAAACGTCTTCGATTTTTCAACTACAGAAAACTTACGATTCAATTTCCGCGGCATTCTCGCTTTAATAGCACGCTGAAAGTAATTATTTAGTTCCTTCTTACGCGTCCTTCTTGCGAGCAATATCTAACTTTCTCTCAAATCGAACAACTTAGAAACACAATTGACCCGTCTGTCCAAACGTCTTGTAATTACTAAAAAAAAAGAAAAAAAAAAAAAAAAAAAAAAAAACTAAAGCGCCAGTACCAGAAAATATCGTTAGATATTTCCAATTTCTCGTTCGAACGTGAAACCGGAGATGAATTAGCTCCCCGTCGTTTTCCTGCACCGAGATTCTTATTAGCCGCAGTGCGGCGTTGCGCGGCGGTATTTCGAAATTTAGCTGAAAGCCGCGATTTCTGCACCATTGGAATAATCACTTTGCCGCCGCGTCGCCAGCAGCACCGGGGAACTGTGTCATTCTCTCAACAAAAGGCAATGAATTATATCCCATCAGGCTGGAATATTTACCAACGAAGCGCACTGCAAATAAAGAGGGGGAGAGAAAAGAAAAAAAAAAAAAGTATCTTAAAATTTCATCCCGGTTTTTATCGACGAGTCTCGGCCGGTCCTGCTACCCGATTAAATTGAATTTTAGCGCGTGCAAGTAGAATATGATGGATGGCGTCAGACGAGCGGCTCCGTTGTCGGATTAAAACGCTCACTACTCACTAGCTTCTTGCGTGAAAATCGCTTCGCAGTTAGGTATTCATAACGTTCTCTGCTGTTATTTATCTTTTAAAGATTAAACTGTTTTTGCCCGTATTGTTAAACATTCTGTCGAATGTCTGCAACGTTTTTAATTATAACACGACAATATGGTTGACAATAGTAATGGCAATAGAGTATAATCAGTAGATTAGATTCTTGGTTCAAATCTAAATCTTTCATTTTGTAAGAGTATTTCGAATGTTCGAATATAATAATATAACAATAATAGAATATTAAATAAAGTCCAAGTCTAATAATTGCCACTGCAGAATTTTTTAAAGATTCATTCTGCAAAATGTCTCGTAACCGTATTGTTTTAACTGTACTTTAATATACAATAACTGCAGAATGCATTTGCTCACTATTAAATTTATTCCAACATTTATATACTAATATAACTTAATTTAAGTTTTTTTTTTTCATCTAAAATTCGTTAAAGTTTCGTTTTAATTATTACCATCTTTATTGCCAGTTGGGGGAAGAAACTTTGGTAGTTCCTTTTTAATATTAGGGCTGCTTCACGTTAGATACGTGTCACTTTAATCCATTGACTGCCGCAGAATCATGTTGTTTCGGGATAGACAATCAGTTATGCGGCGGTAAACCAGAGTTATTTGGGATAGGCAATCAACTATGCAGTGGTGAACCGAGATATCTCACGTGATACGAAGGGAAAGTACGTATATGGGTCAACAGTAGAGCAGGATACGGCGTTATTGTGACCGGTGTATTGCAGAAAATCCAGAATTGTTGGAATATCGACACATCAAACATTTTAGTAGCCGTATTATGGTTGAAAAAATTTCTGATATGCGGAAATTGTTGCGCCGCGTTTACAATGATGCGAATTACTGTTCGGCCGTGTCGTTTTATTCCCAATACGTGTGTTTCGTATATATGTATAATAACATTTCCAATCAGAGTTTACACGGATTTTTTTTGTTCTGTTAATGATAAAAAGATTTAATTGGTATTAAAATGTAACGTGCATTAAAATTATTTAAATTATTCATTGCATTGCTAATTACCGGCTATAACATTATATTAATTATTGAATTCAATGATTCCCTTTTTTGCGAAAAATTCAATTTATTTCCTTTACTAATTTAATTCTGTCTCTTTGGTTCTTTGCATAACGCAAGGTTTAATCCTATGTAATCGATATACATATTAATTGTTTTTCAGGATTTCTTAAAATTACTTCAGAATTTTCTTTATGTATTCGTATTCGTGTTATGTTTCATGAATATTTTAATGATATTCGTTACTATGCCAGTCTACATAAAGTCGAGCAACATAGTTTCAGCGACAAATTCGACGCAACGCTTGAATTTTAATTGCGAGCGGATGATTCGCTCGTGAGAAGTTGAGTGTACCAAATGTTGTAGAAGAACGCGATGCGCAATGGTTCAATAGTTAAAAAAACAGTTGCTTTCATTAACTTCGAAAATCTTCCCATCGATTTAGAAGAATCGGTCTGGCTTACAGATTAAAAATTAAATTATATCTCGCGAATATTTACATACTTTCGAACGGTAGTAGATATTTTTAAACCTACTAAAATCGTATAATACTTTGCTTTTTGCTCTTGTCCCAAGGCTGAAACTAACCACTCAATGCAATACTGATTCAATAATTTAGATAAAAGTACGAATGAAATATCAACCGAAAAGAAACCCTTCTCCATAAACATGACTCGATCGAAATAAAATCACTGTAGCGAGAATCGTCCCTGAGAAATTTCCTACGGCCTTCTCTTACTTTATAAAAAAATCGCAGCTTGTACGCAGAAAGTTCAGGAACAGCAACAGTGGAACTCTCGCCGAGTTCCCTCTATATTCTCTTTTCCAATAGAATGGCGGGCATGGTTAGTCTCTCGTTGAGAAACTTGCCTCGTAGAAGATGCCGACTGTCGAGTTCTTAGCGTGGTCGTTTCGAAAGTTCGCCTCTTCGCGTTGGCCCTCTTCTCTCTTGACCCCTATAAAGCCACTGTCCCTCCTCGTCAGCTGGCTTCGTCTGTCTCTCTCGCGGACCCTAACCCTCGAGTCCTCGAGTCTTCATTCCACTGGCTTCGCGAATCTTTCCCGGAATCCCCGGACGCTGATCTCACGTGTACGACGATCAACTAAAGGCTGGAGGAAGCTTGAACGTCTTTGGATCTTTCTCTCTCTCTATGGACCTTGAAGATTGCGCGATAAATCGTTAATGGCTTTCAGCCGTACGTGCACCTACCTCTTTTCTGTAATTCTCTCTATTTAAAGGTCTTTTGATTCTTAATATTCCGTTAGGATTACTTTTCCTTCTCCTTATCTATCGCAGAATTATACTTTAGCCCGGCTAAATAATATTTCATCTCGTCTACCAAAATTTATCCACCGAGAATGAAACGAATTTCAAATTTGAAGTAGAAACATTTAAAGGGATTATTCGAAAGTTAAAAATGGAGCTCACTACGAATAAACTCGATCGTTCCTCTCCGCCGCTAATAGTAACGAAACTATGAAGGCGAGGAGAAACGCGATGCACACAGTGCCACGAGGGAGAGAGAGTAAACGCTTCTTACTTTCATTCGAATAGCAAGTGGTCTCTTGAAAGAGAAACGAGTATCACGATAACGTGCTTCAGAAAGGCGTGCTTATTTCAAGGATATATGATAGGTTTATTCAGCATGCAACGGCACTCGGCGAGTAGCGTCCGCTATCAGGCTTGGAATACTTGATTATTCGAGACATTTTGCAACCACGTGTACTTAGCTACTTTCCATTCACGAAGGGATAAACTCTCTGTTAAAGCCGCCTGTCATCTCTGAATATTGCACGAACTTTCCATCTAAGAAACTCTGCTTCTTTTAAGAGTGAATTCTTTTGATTGTTCAATGAACACGTATCTTGTGCTCCAACTCTCAAAATCAAAGTAGTATCGACGATACTTTGCCCGATTCTCCGATTTCAGCTCTTTTCTAATTTCCTCACTCTCTGTTCTGATAATTCGCATATTTATTTATTTTAATAATCGCTAACTTTCTTCCTCCCTAACTGCGCTAACTTCGAGATGACAAAAATTCCAAACGACTCACAATCTTTCAGCCGAGTTCACGCTACGTTTTCTCAGTTTTTCTTCCAACAATAGAAACCAGTTCGCGCAGTGC